GGTCACCTCCTGGACTGGTCACCTACCCGGACTGGTCACCTCCTGGACTGGCCACCTCCTGGACTGGGCCAGTTCCCAAACTGGTCCATCTCCTATACTAGTCACCCCCTGGACTGGTCACCTCCCTGCATTGGTCACCTTCCGAACTTATCACTTCCCCAGCTTGCTCTATCTCCTAGGACTGGTCATTTCCCTGGACTGATCCATCTCTCTGCACTGGTCCCCTACCTGGACTGGTCCATCTCCCCTCACTGGTCACTTCTCCAGACTGGTCACCTCTAAGACCAGTCCACCTCCCCCAACCGGTCTACCTCCCCAATTGGTCCACCTCCCAGACTAGTTACTTCATGGAGTGGTCACCTCCAGGACTGGTCACCTCCCAGACTGATCACCTCCCGGACTGCTCACCTCCCAGTCTGGTCCACCTCCCCAGACCGGTCTACCTCCCCAACTGGTCCACCTCCCAGACTAGTTACCTCCTGGACTGGTCACCTCCCAGACTAGTCACTTCCCGACCTGGTCACCTCCCAGACTAGTCACTTCCCGAACTGGTCACCTCCCAGACTGGTCCACCTCCCTGGAGGGACGGGCTCGCACTGCTTCCTGGCAGCTGCAGGCGCAGTGGGGACTGAAACCCACTTGTCTTCCTGGAGTTTCATCGACAAGTGCACGTCCCACCCCGTCTCACTGGAGCCTGGATCTGCGTGGTCCAGAGAGCTGATGTGCGTCTCTTTTCAATGCAACTCAAAAGAGCGTAAAACAACCATTAACTAAATACTGTAGGATTTATTAATTAAAAACTCATTTAATCTATACCATTTTTGCATACATATTAAATCTGTAGCCTTAATAAATGTCCATTACGTCTTAAAATAGAGAGAAATTGAGGATATTTCAACAATGAAATATATAATGGAGGAAGAGTGTAATTTTTTTTCGGATAAAACTCTTTGGTCTATATAATTTTTCTGAGTTTAAAATAACACGAGAATTCACTCCAATAAAAAAGTAAACATTACTTTTCTCAAAAAATTTAATTGCAGAACTATTTACAGGAGGCGAACATCAGCGATACAGAAATCAGATGGAGCATTATCACAGGAGGTTACGGAGGAAACGGTGCACATTTTCGTACAGTCAGCCAAGAGTGAAAATAAGTCATGGAAAAAAGAACACAAAGAAAGCAATCCTTAAATGCCTGAAAGGAATGACCAACATTTTGGTAAGTTATTAAGAAGTAAGAAATCGTGGTGATGAATAGCAGATTGCACATTCAGATCAGGTATCCTGCATGCTACTAAATAAGAATTTATCAAAAGAACCATAAAAGCATGAGAAAGAGAATTACATAAAATAGTTTAATTCCAGTAAAGTGACTTTGTACAGATGCTGAGTATTTGGCACTCTGTTCATCCTCACACTCGATATGGTTTCATATTTATATATATATATATATATGTATATATATATTTATATACTTTTTAAAAAGTTGAACTAAACAGCTAGTTTCCTGGTTCTAACATTCCTTGAATTTCTATAGGAGGCATTTAATGTAGTCCTTAGGCCACACCTGGGTATTTTGGTCTGTACTATGGAAGGTGGGGGGATGAGTGGTGTGTCTCTGCAGGGAGGACCCGTCCTGTCCGAGAGCAAAGTGGCTTACCATTCGGAAGGAAGCGTTCTAAAGGAGACTTCCCCCTTGCTGCTCTTAAGGGGAAGCTTTGTTGAGTTCAGCAAACCAGTTAGAGAGTGGAGTGAGGGAGACATTCATGCTGAGCCCTTTGAAAGTGATATGATTGTATTATTCAAATGAGTGGGGCTGGGTCATGGTGGTGTTTTGGGGGTAAATCAGAGAATGGGTGACTGGCTTCCATAAGGTACCATGGTCAAGCTGGGAGCATCCTTTGTTGTACTGGCAGACACAAACCAACACACTCTCTAGGGAGACCACGGTCTATTTGAGAGAGAAATTTGTACTTAAATTTGTCCGAGAAACCTGGTGTCGATCTTTTCATTCATTATCGCCCCTCCTCCATTGAGTAGGTGAAAGCTTGGATGCCCAAGGCCTTCAGGTCCTGAATAAGCACCAATGAAAAGAATTACATAAATCTAAGAAAGTAGGGAGGTGAACCTCTGTCACCTTAGTGTGTGTATATACAAAATCTGTTAAAAAGTACTTTGATAGTAGGTAACGAACATTTCCTCTGCAAAGAAGTCATCTGTTAAGTGTTTACATTGAAACTTGAAATAATTTAACACTAGATAAAAACGCCAGGGTTAGGACAGCAGTTAATAAAATGATGGACATTTTTCAGTGTGGCGAGGATGAAAGATGGTTATTTCCTAGAGCTTTCCCACAGACCACCTCTGCGTTCTCTGAAGTGGAGGAATTACGACCACCTCTGCCTTCTGGGAAGAAGGGAATTTGTGGGGGGATCCTTAAGCTCTTTGTGGTTTGAGCCAGTGTGTCTGATTTTGTTTTTGCTGTTGCCCCATGCATGCAGTTACCTGCTTCCCAATTATTTTTCCCCTTCATCACTTAAATGTGTAGTTTATCTCCTCATCTAAGAGGCAACTGAGCTTAAGTAATGGTGAAAACATGGCCTAATTCTGGCTGGTGCTGGGTTCTTGTTCTCGGAAGCATCTAGAAATGGTTAAAATCAAAGCCAGAAGCTGGGAGAATGCCCCTTGTAGTTATTTCCCCATTTCCAAACCTTTCCAAAGACAGTCTCACAGCATCTGCCTCTGGTGGTCCCTAATTAGCGCTGAGATGTTTGCCACCCGCCTGGGCTCCGGCAGCCTTCCCTGCAGAGCTGGAGGGTGGCATTCCAGAAGAGGCCAGGGCCTAATCCTTAGCAATAACTCCAACTTTCAGCACCTGTTCCAGGAGCTCAAAGGACTTAGAGCCAATATGTCACTAATCCTCACAACGTGTCCTCGAGGGAGACAGGGGCAGGAACTGTAATCCCCTGTCTAGAGGAAACAACTGAGACATAGAGGAAAAAGTAAGATGAGCTGCTGGCTATGGGCGAATCAGAGCCACGTTGCCTGAGATTCCTAGCAACATCTCCTTCATTTCCAGAATATTCTGCTGCCACTCTGTGCTGGGGGACATTCAGTCGAATACATAGAAGCAACCCTTTCCTTCAGCACTTTATGGCCAACAATGCATTGCAACTCCCAACTGATAGCAAGATGGGCCTCCCGCAGGGAAGCCGTGGGATCTGATCTGACCTTGTGCGGTGTGTGTTACGGCTGACACATGGCACCAGATGACGCGCGGTGCATTGCCCTAGCCCACAGAGTTACGGATACTGATGGGAAAGGGGTCATCTTTTTCAATTCTTAAGCTCCTGGTTTTCTATTTTAATTTTCAAATTTTGGAACGTTTTATTTTCAAGTTTTCAACCCATGCCTACAAAGAAGTGCGGACAGACATGCAGATGAAAAGAAGGGAACCCTCCAACATTCTAGGGGCCGTGGTCTGAAACTGCTGTTTTAAACTAGCCTGTTAAATTTGCAGTTAGAGGAAACGAAGTTCAGGCCTGAGCAGAAGAGGGCTGGGAAGTGAGGAGGCACAAACCATGCGGAATTTGGTTACTTAGGCCCGTGTTGGGGGAGCTTGTTTCTGTGCTCGTAGGTGAGGCAGGTCCAGTTTTCAGACATGTGGGGGGCCAAATGCAGCATCCAGGTGCCCTCCCTGAACCAATGCTGTTTGGGGTAACGCTTCTATGTCTGTACCAGTGCGCACCCTCTTACACCTCCATCAAGTCAGGCCATCCTGTGGTCCTGAGCTGCGTCTCCCAGGAGGCCCCCTGGCCCCTTAATGCTCAGGACCACAGGGTGGCCTGACTTGATGGAGGTCCTGCTGATGGAAAAGGCCTTCCTGAGGAAGACTCAGACCCGCCTCCCCCACTCCCTACTCGCATCCAAAAGGTTTGGCCCAAACCGGAGAGCTGTCCCTAATAGAGCACATTCCGTGGACACCGCAGGCACTTCAACTACAGGCCTCCAGCACCCCTTCACTTTCCTGTGAAATTCCATCCCGGATTGGAGTAGCAATGCCTGCAAGGACCTAGCAGAAACAGAGATGAGCGAATTTACGAATGCAGGGCCTCCTAATGAAGGGGTGGGAAGAGTGGTGCTTAATATGGCATCAAAAAGGCAAAAATCAAGACAGGGAAACAAGAACATACACTCCCAGAGAAAGAATCAGACCCGTGCAAGTGTGTGCTCTGCCTCTGTGTCTTCTAATCATCAATCTAGCCACTTTGATAAGAGCCAGTAGGGAGAAATTCCCTCCACTTAGCAGGGCACTGATTTTCTGGTCTTTTTTTTTTTTTTTTTTTAAGGAAAAAAAAAAAAAAAACCCAGATAACCTTACATGTAATTTATATTTTTATCTGATCATATGCCTTTCCATTAAGTGCCTGAAGCTTTTAGAATTGGAGTTGACAACATCAATATTTCCTTTTCAACAAAACTATTTTTTTGGTATCATAAACAGTTCATTTTTTAATATACCATTTTAAGATGGTGATGTAAATTTGCTGAGAAAAATGTAAAAAGTGTCATGGATAACAACTCGTTTTACTTGAAACACAATAATAACACCTGAAGACGCATGAGATGCATGACAAGGAAAGCGCTCCGGTTACCAAGCAGCATTCTCCTTTCCTGGGTTAAATGCTGTTTATCATACTTGTGTTTTATTGACCAAAACCTTCAACACAGCAGGATCAACTTGTTGGCTGTAAGGAAAGGGTCTGGGTTTCACCCGTTATGGGCCGTATCTTTAGGGAATGTAGGTATGCGGTTATAGCGAACATCACATTCTCTAGGATGATGTTCCTAGAACATCATACATCATTATTTTCAGCCATGTTTTCCAAAGGATGTGTACTCCTTTATTGAAATTATATTTTAAATATGATGAAATGGTCACATGTGAGCTTCATGGTATGTATCTGCTAGAAGCAGCTGAAATAAGCTAGCTTGAGTGACTAACACAAGTATCATAAACAGTTTATTTTTCTTTACATGTACAATACATAAACATGGCTTATCTTCTGCATTTCATGGTAGAATGTCACCTGCATGAGAACTGAGTATATTGCACTTGGTTATGTAACGCGGACAGGTAACATTCCATCAGGTCTAGCAGCAGGTATCCGTTCTACCATTGAATCATCTTCTTTGGAACATGGCAGACCAAGCAGGGCATGTGCACATTCACCATGTCGAGTCACCAACCCCTGTGCAATGTAGTGGTAGGTTAATCTGCTCACTCAGGGATGGTTTTAGGCCAAGACTTTTGGGGATTGTGAAATAACAATGAATTTACAAAACATGAGAAATTAATCCACAGCCAGTGAATGTTTTCCTTTAAGCAGGGATCATTGAATCTGGGATCTACCTTAACAGTTTGTTTTTATATGTTTTGTATAAGTTCAAGGAAATGAATTAAACATATCAGCTGCCAGTAGGTAGAACGACGTGAGGAGGTGGCGTGTCTGTAACAGATCCAGGATACAGAGCTGTGTTTCATTTCCTTTCACTGGGAGTGTACAACTGACTTTGCTTTTCTGTGGTTATTTCCAAACAGCAGAGTTCATCTGAAATCGCACGGCATTTTAAAAGTCTAAAACGCCAATACTTGCAGATACATTTGTTTTAACATAATAGAGTGGATATAGGAAGAGGTGTCATTACTGTACACTACTCAAGATTTAGGTATTAGGTAGAAAAATGCTTTGAACACTCTGGGGAAATAGGACTCATTTATAGAAGAATATTTCAGGGAATTTTTTTTCTTTTTTGCATTTTTCAAGGAGATACATTCGTACTGATTTTTGCTTCCAAATATATTTTAAGGCTGTTTGGTAAAATATATACCAGATATGAGGCTTGATTTATAGGGTTTTGTTTTTACAGGGAAATCTTTCCTCAGCTTTAAAAAAGTAAAACTTTGAAGCTAACATGCTTTAATATCTGCTCTGCTCCCAATGGTCCCATGCGCAGTGGGATGTGGGAAAGGAGGCAGCGGAGAGGCTGCGGCTCGGGAGGACGCTCTGGCGCAACCGCGCACCCAACGCCCTGCCACACGCAGCTGCAGAGGGGCCGGGGACGTTGTAAAGTGCAAACCAAGTGAAGAGAGAAAGTGCGCGGGTCGTGGAAAGCTGTTCTGCCTGTGGCTGAGGACACGGGGCTCCTTGAAGCTGGGAAGGAAGACCTGGTATTTGGGTGGAAACATCTGTCTGGAACCACAGTCCTGCCTTTACTCTGAGTAATAATGAGAACTGTGAGACTGTAACTCAGTGGAAAGATCGGATAGGCTTTACCTTTGGCGACTGGTCTGAATGGTGAAACAGAAGTTATGTGGGAACAATGGTCGTGGCGGCTCAATTTCATTACACTCACGGAAAGCCTATTAATTAGAGCCATTCCTAGTTTCCTCTGGTGCCGACCAGAGAGTCATGAACACTAATTACTTTTTTGAATTCCACAGCTGGAAATCGCAACAGGTGACCTCTTTTTCCTTCATGTCTAACACAGGCAAGGAATCTATTCTTAACTTTAGCAATACTGCATAGGACAAAAGAATTCTGGAAAGGTACAAATGTAAACTACATTTCTTCTTTACCATTTAAACTGAGATATACTTACCACTCACATTCATATTTCTTAAACTTTTTACAGCATCACAACTGTCATTTTAAACAAGCAAACTTCTTTTTTTGTTTGTTTTTTTTTTGAGACGGATTCTCACGCTGTCACACAGGCTGGAGTGCAATGGCACGATCTTGGCTCACTGCAGCCTCTGCCTCCAGGGTTCAACTTCTTTTTTTTTTTTTTTTTTTTTTTTTAAGGATACCCTGGAAAGTCAGCTGATAGAGCAATTTGAGAATATATATACATACATTAAAAAAAATCCCATGTAGCATAAATGGTGAAACTTAAGGAAAATACTGGAGGTTGTTTTTAAGGTACAAAGAAATAAAAAAGACAATGACTATTTCATAGAAGTAAGGACATTTTCTTCCCTTTATGCTCCCAGCCCTCTCTAAGGCTCTCCTCTCTCTGTGCGTGACTTCCTCGTGGGGACACTCAGAACACTCAGCTTCTCTTTTGAATGTGTGGATGCTGTGCTGGGTATTTTCAGTGGGTTCAGACTTGTCAAGCCCTGGGTTTTGCAGAACCGTGTGGCGGGGAGTTTGGTGGTTGGAGAGATCACTTTCCATCACAGGAAGCTTCACGCAAGGAGCCTAATGTTTTCTGCTTGTGAGGAACAGGAGCAGGAGGGCGGAGCAGGCAGGCGGCCCGGCCTCGGGGAGAAGGAACTGGGGTATGCGAGGGGAATGGGCCTTTCTTTCCTGCACTTCAGGTGGTAGCACCTTCCACTTGGGTGTCTAATGCCTCTAGGGAGTGGTGAGCTGCACCCATTTATAGTTATTTGTTATTCTTACCTCTAACTATCACACAATTTATAAAAATAGAAATAACAAAATGTAAGCTGGGTTTCAGCTCCAGGGGCGTTTCTCGCCGTCCTCAGAGAACACGGAGGGGAAGTCGGGTCTCGCCACACCTGTCCCTCAGAGCCGACTGGGAGCCAGGCCACCAGTGAAGAAAAGCAAAAGTCGTCCTCGCCACGAGCTCCGTGGACTCTGAGGCCACCGACCGCGTTCCACTGTGTTCACGGCACAAGGAGCAGAACAGCAAGGGCGTGTTCAGTGGAAGAAATGAGACAGAAACCACCAGGGAGCCAACAAACTGTACAAGCGTTTTGTGAAAAAGCAGAAACAACCAAGGGGAAGGTGGCTGCCCCCCGTCCTCAGAGCCGGGTCTGGGCCTCGGGGATGTAGATCTCGATGCTGTCTGCGCGCTCCGTGGCAGAATTCTGCCGGAAGGATGCCGCACGCTTGGCGGCCATGAGTCGTCTCCGCGCTTCCTGACGTTGTCTGTCGGGCAGGTCCAGGGATTTTTCTCTTGTGATGGGAAATTTTCCTTTGAGGGGCTTCTTTGGTATTGGAGGCGGGGCCTTTCTTTCTTCCTGAAAAGCATCACAAGTCAACATGGGTGGGTGGTCCGGGGGGTCCTAAGAACTTGCGAGCTCAGTGGCCCGGGGGTCTGGGCATGCCCTTCCTGACCGAAACCCTCCCGGTGGCATCCTTCATTCCATTCCCACGCTTCCCCTTAACCCTGACTCCCAGGTCATAGGTCTGCCTTCTGCACAGTGTATCATTTGCGTAAGCTCCCTCAAACTTCACAAAGGGGTCAGAGGCATTTGCGGCAGTGTTCACAAATCAGGAAATACTTTCTGCATATTCACACCTCGCATCTCTGGAGTCACTGAGCTATTCTGACATCCTTGCCCAATTCCAGCACTTCAAAAGCCCTATGTCATCTTCTCCGAGCACTGGCCAATACCTGCATGGCCAAGCGCAGAGCATCACAGGGATTTAGGACACATCGCTGGACGTCCCTATTAAACACTGGAGGGTTTCCAGCAGACGTAGAATTCCAATGTGTTCATGAAAACCATCTAACATCAGTGGGTGTGTCGGGAAACACTGGCCGAATTCTCTTACTGGCCTAAAATCTCATTGACATGGACAATATTTATAAAACCACTATTCACTTCTTGGTTTGTAAAAAGATGCAAGTAAGTATTTTTGACCCTTAGCTCAGATTCTCAGGTAAGTCACGCTAAAATACGGTGTGTGCCTTTTTAGAAAGATAAATCTCACAATTCTGCAGCAAATGCGATGGGTGATGCAGTTACTCCCGCGAATGGTCTGTGTTCACGGCTGTGCGGGTCACACCGTTCCTAAAGACAGCAGGACCTGCCCTGTCCCATTCTGGACGGAGCCCTGTGGGGACTCTCCATAGCCTGCTGTTTCTTTTCCAGGAAAGGATGCATGACAGAAGACGTCAGAACCCCTTTCCTTTCCTAAGCAGGTATCTAGTTTTTGGGGAGAAAACCACAAAAATTCAGCCTCTAAGAAATTTCCAAGGGGAGCCCAGAGATGCCTGGACAGCAGGCAGTTGTGGGGGAGGCGGGGGCACGGTTGCAGGAGGGTGTGTGGCAAGAAGGCTGCTTTGGCGTCTGGAACTTTGTTCCTTCAGCTTATTTTATGTGACCCAGGCCAGAAGCGCTGACTCTTACCTGACTTTCCGGCATCCGTCTAAAACAATGGGGGATGAGTTCATTGCAACCTTCAGCTACTTAAACAAGTAATTCCTGTTTCCAGCACGTGACAACTCATAGTTCAGGGGATGCCAAGAGAAGAGGAAACAAGTGGGTCTCTTTCATCTTTTGGTGTCCCGGCACTATGGGCCTGTGAGGCGTACACATCAGCACTACTTGTGGGGGTCCCCCCTTTAAAGGAGCTCCCCGGCCTGCAGGTGTGGCCCTGCAGGAGCGTCCAGCAGGTGCCGTGCAGGGGCCCACCCCCTGGAAGTTGAAGATGCCATGTTCGGGAGGGGCGGGCCGCCTCTTCAGGCATGGAGCCTCCGCTGTGCTAGAAACCTGCTCGCTTTCTGGTTTTGAGGATTGTACTCTACAGGCAGCTTGGGTAGATGGGCTCGTATTAGCTCTCAATGACCAAAGAATGGAAACAGACGGAACCATTGCGTGCACCTGAACTAAAGTACCTTCCGTTGGAACAGCCTTCTCACTTAGAACATCACTGATGATCTCTTTCACCTCGGATCCAAACCGTGGCTTACCTGGACCTGCCAAGTCCCAAGCACAGCTTACGTGGACCCTGCACACTACTACCTGCTCCTGTCGCCTGAGATGACAGGGAACCCGTGGGTCGGTGGCATCTAGCCTGGAACTCCACTCGCGACCAGGGACACCCTCTGAGAGAAGGAGATGATGAGGGCAACCAGCCCTGGCTCTCGGTCTGGTGACCCAGATGTGTCTCCCTGCTTCCCCAACGTATGCTGACTTGATTTTCTTTATCATTTTAATCGATAACGTTTGTCTAGAAAAATCCAATTGTGGTTCCTCAGGACATGCCTGAAACATGTGAGGAAGTCAATATCTTTGCTGCTAACTCAGAACTATCTACTAGTTCTTCTGATGACAGTATCATGGAAGAAGTGAAACGCCTGGGTTCAGATCTAATGGGAAATTTCAGCCTGTTTTAAGGGCTGAGGCTGATTGATCTATAGGAAGCTTAATTCATCCAACTGTTGAATAAGGTATAAAATGTCGCCTTGCCTATAGCGGCCATACTAGAAGGTATATTGAGTTGGAGATAGTGCCTAATCAGGCCTAAAACTTTCCCTGTGGGAAACCAGCTTAATATTTACACAATCAGAATAAGTTTGATGAAAATAATTCAGAGGTGAGACCCCTGTCAGGAATGACGCTGTAGATTTGCTTGTGATCTTGGCTGGTGTCTCTTTGAAAGACCCTATTATTTACCACCTGTGCCCAAAGCTGCAATTCTGCACCACTTGGGGCATGTGCACACACAAGCACATGCTCACACATGTGTGAACACGTACATACATGAAAATTTGCGCCTGTATTGCCAGCAGGACTGAGAACCTCGTTGTCATGCTGTATCTGCAGCAGGTGGTTACTGTGGTGGGAAAGGGTATTGCTGGGAGCCCACTCTGCACGGGCACCCTAACCTTTCTCTCTGCAGCAGGTGTACTGCGGTGGGAAGGGGT